ATCTCGTGGAAAGTGGAATTGAAGCATAAGGAAGAAGTATGGCTAGTTTCTGCAATGCCTCTCCGGTATCAGGAAAAGTACTCTGTAATAATCCACCTGATTTTGCTATAAGAAGTGGTATCATCAACTTCTTACGTCGGATTTGGACTGTTTCACTACAACGAATAAGCTCCTCCCTATAAAAGCCTCTGTTTCCACAGTGCTGCAGCGTCGCAATTACTTAGTCGTATGTTGCATTTGATTCCACTTCACTGGCTGCCTTGATAGAATATCATCGAACAATGCCGAACGTACTGGCCCCACACTCCCTTATTGAGGACGAATTCAAGAGCCACAAAACGTGTTTTCAGATGTGATAGACGTGGAACGGGGATTATGGCGCTGGACGAGATTTTGATTTCCGTTCTTATCATTTCTGATCATTCGTATTGTCTTAATGTATGCACTGTTTCATTTTCACTCTTTATTAGCTGTTTACAATTGTCTAAATAATTGTAATTGTACCATTGAAAAAAAGGGATCGTATTTCTTTGTGACCGTTATAAGCTTTCTGTTGAGGCGTCGTAGCTTTCTGCCTGTCAGCAATTGATGTATACATATTTTATTTATTTTTATGACCTGGAATTCCTAGTAGTTGCATCAGGCTGTCGCCCGTAGGTACTGCTCGAAACATGACTGTGTATCTACAAGTGTTTCTTCAATTTTTATGGTGTGGTAATGAATTTATAAGACCTTTAATTGAAGGTCGATCGAGGAGAACCGATAATTTACTCGGTCTCGGTTGTTGATCTTATGAGTCGCGGTTGTTAATACGGTGCAAGGATTACCATGACTGGTTATTGGTCGCTGCTAAACGTGTCCGGTGAAGAGAGATGTGCTTGAAATCGCTTTAAGCAGAACACCGCCTTGACGTGTTAATCGTACGCACGTACGGTAAGCTCACTCTCGTAGGTCGTCTCTTCACTCTCTTAATCTCATGACTGTTGCAAAGAGCAGATCTTCCGTTGACCGGTCTGAAAACCTATCAAATTTTTCAATGATCGCATGAATCCGCGCCCAAATCAGACAAAAGAAATCGCTTTGATAAAACTAAGCTCTTTAGAAGATAAAATTTGTCTGTAATTTAATCGTACTAAATAATAGGAGAAACATATCAGAATATAAAAACTTATCGTTGAATGATTTTTTTGTGAATTTTAAATTAAGGTGGTGTGGTGAGCAGAGGCGTTACTGATTAAGAGCGCTTCCAGCAACACATCGGTTCCTATCCAGACCAACCGAGCCCTTCTTCACTTCGGACACAGTTTTTTCACCATATTTACATTGGCTAAAACCAATCGGTTATATTCAAGTGCATCAGTTAATCTCGCAACCCATTATTCAGGCCAAATCGCTTCCTAAGGCCACTATGATCTGAATAGAGGTTAAGGCCGTCTCAAGGCGGAGGGCTCATATCGAATGCCATACTTCCTCAGTTTTAAAAACAAAGCTCAGAATGAGCCAGTTTTTTTGAAAGTACTAATGTTCCGTTACTTGAGAAAACTCACATTTGCAAGTAAAATTTACTCTTTTCTGATGTGAATATCAGTGACTTCGAATAGAACACATATGACGCCAGTTTCGATTCTAGAGTCCTTATTGGTATGTATGCATTTTGCAACAGTGGCAGACTTCGGGAGATTCATTTCAGTTTTTCAAGATCGAAAGAAAAAATATCGCGTTAATCGAAAGGTGCAGGTATTTCTAAAAACTCAAAAGGGCTTATATGATACGTTATCCTATTTCTTGCGTCCCTACCCTCGGTGAAAGCTGATTGGTGCCGCCACCTCAGTTCTTGCTCGCAAAGCTTCGATTTGTGTAAGCTCGTACAGAATTGAGCGGGAGCAATTCATCAGGCTGATAGCTCAATTCTTAATAATACGATTTTAATCAATCAAGGAAACGTACGGAACAATTGAATTCTGACCGAAGGAATCACTACGCTGGACGGTTACTCCAGTTCCTCATCACTAGTAGGAATGAAACATCCTACTTACTATGAGACGCTCATCATTCTATCGGTCTGTCTCTCTGTTACTAAATTCACTGCTTCCTGGAGATTCACCTAATAAGAAATAAGTCATGTATTACAGTACTGAAACACGTTCCTCTTGAAGAAACCTGATGAAATTTCATGAAAAACAATACTTTATCGTTGACCCATAATGCCTGAGTATGATTATCGAACGATCTGAGTTTAATTGAATTCCTGCTTGACGACATGAGCCATCCATGAGGATGGGTTTCGCATTCACATGCTACCATGGAAAAACTATAGAAGCAGCTTTTTGATGAAGCTGAGGAAAGCAGCTGTGACGGCTGCACACTGCTTCAACTGCTTGCGCTCACAAACACTGCCACATTTAATCATTTCCCATGGACCCTTCATTCCTTCTGTGACTGAATTGCGAAACATTCTGCCCAATGAACATAATCTGTTCCAATCAAAAGCGCCGCACATTCTTTATCCACTGCCTGATTTGAAGACGAAAAAATAAAGGCAAAATTGGTTAGGAGAGCTGACTAAGCTCTAAAATCGAAATTCTGATTTGTCTGCTTATTTGAGTAGTTATTGCAGAGTTTTCCCTTCCAATTCATTGTGAATAGGCGTAAAATTAGTTATTACGAACTTGTGTTTCTCACACTCTGGCTTATCTTACTCGTCTTCCACCTGAAGTATCCCAATCAAACGTATCCTTTTCCTGTATTACCGTTTTTGTTATTCTTTATACCCTAGAGCGGTCTACTGCCTTCGCAAATGTAAACTATCTGTACAGACACGCTTATTGTTTTCATACGAAAACCCCATAAATTATTGATCTAATGCTAATTTCTTTTGTTTAATCAACAGTCTCTTTTCAATCTCAGGGTTGAAACCCAAACCTAATGACACTAGTGCTACGAATTCCTCGGCCATGCACCTGATCTCAGTTTTCAGCGGTTTACTTACCATAGATAGTCACCACTCGAATGGATAACATGACGAGCCGGTGGTGCAACTGTTACTGTTAGCACTTCAGCTCAATGAGCTTCGAGCTCGAATCCTAGCTACAGCTCACAATCGGTGCCATGTCTAGATCTTAGAATACTTGTGAAAACTACTTGCGTTTGTTTTTCTTTGATCGAGCTCCTATTCAATTTATTTGTTTCAAATTTCAATTATGTGATGCAGTACTGATACTCTAGAAACTGGCACGGTTTCCATGGGAGATTGTTCCTCCGAGTCTTAACCTGCGTAAGAGCTAATAATCCCTTCTTTCCGCCGCTATTCAGGCTCAATCATCAAATCGTTGAGAGAGTGTTCTCATTTCTATGAGCCACGTCTTCATTACTGCAGTACAGCATAAGCCTAAGGCGACTATTATATAGGCATCGGTTTTCTTAAAAACTGAAATAGGCATTTCGTCGCTGTGCTGGTATCTTTTACGAGCGAATGCCGTTCGTCGTCTGTTAGAAGGTGACATGAAAATGCTGTCTTGACACAATGCGTTTGAGTTTAAGTCCGCTGCTGCAACTGTGACAGTCAAGGACAATGACAGATATGGTTAGAGGAACACACGAACGGCAGCGTTCATATGAAGGGCGGCAAGGTCACATCCTGCCTCGCTGAATTACAGTAAACCCGATACACTGTTTCATATCACTATAACACTCTCACTATCACTAACACTATCATTCCATGATGAACACTTCCATAAGCGCCTCCCTAGCCGGTCCCGGCCAAGCATCATCGTTGTGGCGGTCGGCTATGGATCGTCTCGAACTTTTTGTAACACACTGATTACCCTTCCAGTAATAGGCCCCCGACTGATCATATAAGAAGTGCCTTGACGCTGACATACCATTCAATGTGCTTCACCCACCGCTCTCAGCTCACACCTCGTGTTTCGAGTTCAGCAATTCAATAGGTGTTAGGCTAGTTTGGAGAGCTGCCTCATTTCCTAGTGCTGGAATCCGCTCTAGTCGTTCGTTCTTCGTTTATTAATATACGATTCTTCGATGAATTTTGCAATTTATGAAAATTCCTAGGATTCAGTGGTACTTTTGTGGCATTTCAGGTCCACTTCATGGACCTGTGCAGAGGTTCAATTTGGCCTTGAAAATTGAATAGCAAGTGGCTTATAAGGGGTAGGATAAGAAGTCGCAACTGATAAGCTTCTTTTAGTATTCCGAAGTATTTCAGCTGCTTATTGGATTCTAAAATTCCGAAAAGCGATTCATTTTGCATCTAATTGTCTTCGACAATGTGCTAACTTGCGGCAGAGCCCCAACTCCATGCTTAGTTACTTTTCTGTGCCGAACTAAATACATTTCCTCAAAATCCTCTCAAGGGCGCAGTGAAAGCAGAACAGAATAATGGTAAGCACTAGTGTTCGTTTCATTCAGTCGCAAGATGTGGGACTTGATTTTATTGGGCACACATTGACTCCCAATTGGGGCAGATAAACCGCTATTCAAGGATTTCGTGAAACCGCCTTGATGACATTATGACCGCCTGTCTCGAGCCCCTATAGCGGAATTATGAAAACGTTAATGCTATCGTATGCCACTCTGAGAGGGATTTCTCTTCACCCAATCCATGATCGCGTTCAGTGAGTTTTCTAGTGTTTTCTTGTACATGACATGAGTACCTCAAATTTTTCCATTGTAATTGCCGGGGCTTTTCAAAGTCGTTTCTGAGGATGTTTTAAGCCCCAGAAGATTGACTATACTGCTATACCATTGTTGTTCTTTTTAGAAAGTAAGTCGATGGTGGTAAGCCGAACGCTACTTGAATAGGAGAAAAAGTTATATCATTAATTTTTCTTTCAAACCTCGCGATAAACGTCTACATAATTGTACTAACTGACTTCCACGTTTCACTTATCTCTTATCATTGTTAAATTTGTTTTTGAAGATTCCGTGTGGCTGCTCTTCTTGAAAAAGAGCTTTAAATATTGCGTTACAATAGCCTTTGCAGGATGCACACCTTCCTCGTTTCGCTACTTTTACTGCCTTCAGTACTGTCAAAGTTACAGGTTGAAAGGAAAGATTTCTTCGTGAAAAAAGGAAGTGAGTTTGTTCTCCATCAGAATACTAATCAAGTTGATTCTCAATGTTAATCAATTTCATTCTTATAAATAGTCATGTTTTCAGTTTTTCTTTGTAACTGTATATAAATTCGTGCAAGAACATTGATTTTAGAAGAAATAGACGTAATATTAGAGTGCTTTGTGAGCACCATAATCAGCGGAGGAAATTCAATTCAAATTTTGCAGTTTTTATTTGTGTCGTATTCAAGTTTTTTCTAAATGATGATAATAAAATCAATTAGCCGGAAGTACATATTTCATAAAGACAGTATAACTCGAAAAGTTCTTAGCACTGTAGGAAAGCTGGTCGAAGTGAAGAACCCACAGTGAAAAAAATAGGAGTAGAATAAAAGGAAGGCCTTGAAAAGTTAGAGAAGTTTGTGAATTTATGGCCGAATATTTTGCTTTTTAACAAATTAAAAACTCGCAGAATAGGAAAAATTGTTGATACTTTTGCAGTTTCCGTGAAGCAAGGGATTTTTTGAAGCAAATTGAAAAGAGATTGATGAGATGAAAAAATAAGGAGCGTTTGAGGAGTTCGAATAGATGTTTGATCGCTTCCATTTCTTTCGGCATTCCATGAAGATATCACTTCACCCTTGCAGATTCGGAGGTGTTCGATGAAACAGTGAAGACGAATCCCCGATCTTTCGACTATGATTTCACTGACGATCTGAGACACGAGGCTAACAAGAACGACGCTTACGATGAACATGTTGGATCGTTGCCCGATTTCACTATCTATAAACGAGGTGAAAGCCAAGGGGTCACGGAGGCAAGTTTTTCAGGGCTTCTTTCAATACGAACTAGAGACATGTCATCTCGTAGTTCAAAGGGAGGATATGGGATGATAAGTGTTCTTGACTGCATGTGTTCCACTACCCTGAGGACCCTTATCATTCACTTTAGTCGCGAAAACCGGTCGTTTCCCGGTGTCTCGCGAGACCAAGGAAATTTACAAGAGTTCCATTTCTTGCGCCATTTCGTGTTGGTGTATCGACTTCGAAAAGTATCTGCAAAATAAATGACCTTCATGAAATGTCACATGAACATGGACGTGGATCAAATGTCATGTTCCGGTGAAAGAACTCATGCAGGCTATTTTGATGTGCTATCCAATACTATGGATAAGGGTAAGGGCGTTCATAAAACACTCATTTACAATATATTCCGGATGGATCGCTGTGTGTGGAAGTCCCAAGGAAGAAGATAACAATAAGGTGCAGTGGCCCAAAAATTTTCCTGAGCCAGGAGAATGGTCATCCTTGCCTAGGTCTAGGGTTGAACGAGCTCCAAGGTGGATGACATGCAAGAAATTTGCCTTGGATGTGAGCAGGACTTGCGGGGTGTAGGACACACCGGTATTTATCAGAATTGCACTTAAAATGTGTCGTCGAGACATTCTCATATCCATAGAGTCGGAGAGCCCAATGGAGGCTCTCTAGTACTACCGACAAGGTAACAGGCAGTGACCGCCATCTCAATTGTTCATGGTGGGGCTCGAGCGTTGTGTCAGTGCTAGTCTCGCTACTGACTCAAAAAACAAGCCCACAACTTTTTCTGCGATATTATCATGTCAGAAGAAATGCTCCTCTCTAGACCTTCCGTTCCCAACCTGGATACAGGTCCCATTTTTGGCTGTAAGGTGCCAGGGTTTTATATGGAAATTGAAGCTTGAGGGAAAGTGAAATTGCGCCTTATGATTCTTGTGACTTGGGCTTCTAATTTTCCTGGCTCGTCATTTGCTCTTAAGATAACGCCATATCACAGTACTAAAAAGTTACTCAATCCTATACGAACTCACTAGTTTAGGTACCCGTTGTCACGAGGGGTGTTCACACATGGTCGACTCACGCGCCGAACCTGGACTCATTTCCGTACTTGACGAAGAGTTCACCGTTTGGACGAACTACGCCAATGCCATCTGTACAGAACAGACAACCAATTATGCCAGTAATGTTGCATTCTGAAGAGGTGAAGAGGGTGAGAGAGCTTCTCATTGGAGCACCAGCAACAGCAGACCTTACAATAGAATCCAATAAAACAGAAGACAGCGCTCCTCACGAGCTCAGTAGACGACCAGAAACTAAGGACGAAAAAGAGCTGAACAAGGACTTTCCCACACTGGCACCAGCATTGGAGAAGCTTGAAGTAGCGAAGGAGTCGAAGAAGTCCCTTACCCTGACATCAGCTAAAGCGGAGACTACGACCAAGACTACCGTTACGACGAAAGCTCCAAAACAAGTTAAGCGACCATCACATACAGAACTTGAAGAAGTGAAGAAGGTAGAAGTGCTGCTGACTAAGGCACCGCTGGCACAACGCCCTACTAAAACTACTGCCAAAGCTACCACAGCTACTACTGGAACTCCTACCACGGTGTCCATCATCTCCAGCTCCACGCAGAGGTCCACAACACCAAAGAGGACTTCAACTACAACCTCCAAGACGTTAAAGACGACGGCGAGAAGTAGAGCGAGAACCACACCTGTTGCCACAACAACGAAATTGTCTACACCACTATCGTCTACTACGACATCTTGGACAGTTACGACAGAGCCAACAGTGCGACAGCGGCCAATATGGTGAGTCCAGTAGTAAGCAGTATTAGGCGGTCCCTAGAATAAGATTTTAGGCACAAAAAACACTCAAAAACCTTAAAAGGATTTGCTGTGTGCATTAAAGGGATATGTACTAGGAGAGGTGCATGGGAATGGGTTCAAGCACCTACAGCTACCAAACCCAAGCAATATGATCACTTCGGGTGGTAATGTGTAATATAAGCAGTACTTACACTACTGATAGTTCGCAAAAGATGAGGACTGAGTAAATGTTGGCACTCTGAAGTGTGAGGCTTGTCTTTTGGGATGTGCAATGCTTCTGTGAACCTCGTTCATGTCACGGGATGATCAGGGTTCCGTCTGTTGCGGCTTCAACGAGAGTCGTAAAGAAATTCTAGGAGGGTAGGTTTGTGGAAAAAGAGTCCTAGTGTGTGAAATGTGTAGAATCTGCTGTTTTTTGATTTTGATTTTTGAGGAGTTTTGCGTTATACTGTAGTGCAGAGGCACCCCGGGGAACACTCGACTAATAGGGAGGGTAAGCGAAGGAAATCTTGGGGTACGCACCTTCATAGATCACGCCAGCTTCGTTGCAAAATTGCGCGATTAGGGCGCTAATCCATTACGAACCTGCAACCATCGACCCTCGCTGCAACGCTTCCCACCCACCGCGATTGATGTAGAGATCAGCGTGCTCTCTCGAACGGCGTGCTCTCTCGCGTGTTTGTCTTCTTTGATCTGTCTCGCCATCGTACCACATCCGATCTTACTAAGGTTAAGGCCCTAATTTTAGTGTTTCCGATGATTTCTCTTGTTCTGCTTTCCACTTTTAATTTCCGCATCTCGTCGTCATTACGAAGCACCCATATATGTAAAAATATCAGTTTCATTATGAAGCCTGCCTTTAAGCATAATGGTCTTTTTCAAAGTTTCTCGTTATACATAAACGATGTTTGACCCTGGGACTAGTAATAAAAAGCATTTGCCGTTGATCAATCCCTTTTTGGGATGCGGCACGCATTCTACTTCCATTTGTACATTCGTAGTGGCGTTTGAATGCGATGTGGCCTATACAATGACTTGCGGGGGCCAGCCGATGTACAAGTCAGTGTTTTTATCCTCCCAGACAATTAACCGACCCCGGAGGGATGGAAGGCTTGGTTGGCCCGGGCGACTCACGACCCAGGATTTGATCCCCGGACCGCTCGCGTGGTAAGCGCGCCACTTGCCACTACACCACTTCCGCCCCTGGGGCTGTCATTTATCAGTCAAGATAACCTAGGTGTTTTTGAAACAGTCACACTTTCAGTAGAAACACAAATCCAGCACCAAAAACTTGCATAAAGGCCACAGTAGATGATTTCTCAAATGCACCCCTTTTCAGGCATCCAAATCGTCCTGCACAACCAGAACCAGTCTTCAAGTTTTCGACGGTTATGGGAGTGAGAAGGGAGAGAGTCCGCATAACTGCTTCACCGCGACCAGGAGGCGTATGGCGCCGCGGAAGAGTTATTTATGAAGATAGCACAACGACTTCAGTGCCGTCTACTACTACCAATAAACCTACTATAGCTTATATCAAAGACCGCCAACCAGCGATTCATCGCTTCGATGAAAAAAGGTATATTGTTCGCATCATCTCTCAACACAACCAAAAAAGCGTCGTGAAGAATACAGCGAGTTTAAATCCAAAAGGTTGAGGAGAGGCATGCAGGGAAGAAATTCAAGAGAACTTCATATTATGATTGAAACAAAAGAGTCTGACCCCATTTCTTTACTTCCGAACTTCAGTTCCATGGAACTACTGATGCTTTTGTTAAGGCCATGAAACAGTTTACTGTTGACTCAGTCATCAATAGTACACTTCCTTGGTAGAGTCATAAGTTCGAAAAAATAAAACGAAAAACGCACTTGCGTTGAGAAATCTGCCACAGACGATCTGGATCATAATGCTGTCTATATCGTTTATCTTGGTGGACTCGCTCCCCATCAAAGGTTATTCAGAATGAGGCATTCAAACAGCAAGTTTCCTCGAAGTCTTCTGAAAGAGTCATATAGTGAGACAACCATGGCGAAAGATAGAGCACCAAACCAAAAAAGATTCTTGTGCATGGGAGGGATTCATTATCTTAAAAGCTGTCTCCGTTCAACCAGCAGTGAACGGCACCCTAGCACTTCGTGGCTACGGACCCAATTGCAGTTACAAGAAGCGTTACAGCATTGGTACCGTGATACTGTGAGACGAGATCTTTAGTGTGATGTCATGATACAGTTATGTGCGTACTATGAATGTCAAGTAGCGTAAGCTTATTATTGTAGCTTACTAAGTGTAACTTATTGACTGGCTCGTACGCATTAAATGCAGTGAGTACCCTTCCCACCTGTAATTGACCCATTTCCGTAACTGTTTGGGCCAAAATGATAATAGACGTTTAGAATGTACCACATGTGTCGTGAACTCTGGAGGACAGAATTCGGGATTAGAAGCAGTTGACTGCAGCTGTATGTATAGTCCTAAATGTGCTGAATTAACATTGGTTCCCTTATGGCTGATTTATATAGAAAATACTGGATCGTGATGCTGAAAATACTTGAAGTAAAGTGCTGCGAAGAAAGGACTCTTTCGACTTCTCTACCCTTGGTCATATTAATACGTGGCGGAACCTATAATCACAAGGTCTTAGAGAGTGATTCTTGAAATATAAGTTTGTTTTTTGGCAGAGTTGACGCTGTCGCAACTTTGAAGCGGTGTCTCCTGCCGCTCTTAGCAGGGGCTATATAGATTCTTAACTGCAGGGATACTCAATCTCTCGAAATCCGTACAGGAGACCGCACAAAAGGTACCCTTCAAACTCGGAAAATATTGAACTTTTTCAACGCTACCCATGAAAGTTGCCGTAGAAAGCAGTGTAGGCCCATAAAGGAATTACAAGAATTCCCTATATTCCGAACAGACACGTTCACCGTTATTGTACTGATTCGATTTCCAGGAGTCTCACCTCCTACAGTGTCAAACTTAACGCTAAGATGCCGCAAAAAACTTGTTGTCTAATCATCGTGAACATAGCAATTGAAGTTTTGTGGAGTTCGCTTTCTCGCTTGGCGCGAACATGTATTTGAGACTCTCACTTCACAGAAGCTAGGGGTCATTTTCGCCGGCTGTGTTTACCTTGGCATCAGCAATCGAACCGACTAATATTGGTCTAGTCGATTATTCCTTTTGGGAATTTATCACTGAGTATTTAAAGGATGGGTCTCAATTTGATATCTAGAGAAATCCTCTTATTAAGTGAGATCGCAAGATCGTTAATCACAGGGGTTGAGGTAATGCTGCGACTTGAAAGTTCAGAAAGGAATCTACATATTAATTTGAATACTGCTATCGCTACGTTCTAATCAATCTCAGCATACGTGTCGCTCGAGCCCTCTCGCGTACGTTATGTTCTCTCGCGTTTTCCCTCTCCTCAGAGCACTGCGTCCCCTGTAGTACCACGTGTTACCTTCCGAGAGAAAAATCAGTGTTTCCTACGTGCTCTTCTTTTTTCCCAACTTACGTTGCCCTCACCATTTCGTGCCTGATTTTGGAACCGAATAGTACCGAACTCATTCGATCTTGACCCGCGTCTTCAATGTGGAATTGTATTTCAACTCAAGTTATGCGTTTTGTGAAAAAAAAAATATGGAAATTCATGAAGACAATAAAGCCGAACAATATTTGTCAACTGGTACTGGGACTAGTTCTTGGAAACTCGGCGCGACTCAATAGATGGCAAAAACTGCAACCTATAGCATTATGGTTTCTATGGCTCCATGGTCGTCTCAATAAAATGCGGAAGCCTAACGCATTGCAAAATCAGGGCCTAATGAAGCACGGCTTGTATCTCTATCTCGATTCATAGAGAGCACGGGCTATTGCCCTCAACACTCTATTTGTCATTTGATATGTGAGCGAAACCCTTTTGAACAAAGCCGTTTCTCTGCTGGAATTTTCTCCACATTTTTCCGTATCTTCAAAAATGAAGTTTAACGTGAATATTAATTAGACATTTGCCTTTTGAGCGATATTGCTGATTTTTTCGAAAGCAAGTTGAGAAATTATTCGCATACAGGAATACTAGATACCCTTTCCTCAAATATGCGTTGAACTTCACTGCTCTAAGATTAGGCCACTTCTTTTCAGAACATAATTCAGTGGGCGGGGTTTGAGGGGCGGAGTCTGTGTAAATGATGGAAGCTGATCGCTGCTTCCAACCCAGTTTTGATCACTTCTGCTTGGGTGACGATGAGGATCCATTCCTGCTTGTAGAGAGACGAGCCAGGGTCACCGTGTACCTCAAAACCTTTGTGCACTTGGACCAGTGCCTTCTGACGCAGTTAGCGCCGTCGGAATAAAGGTCTTCATATATCACCTGATATAGTGTCCCCTTGTTGTGAAATTACAGAGTAGCCTTAGAAGACAACTCACTCCTTCAACCCACTAGGAACAACATCCGTCAAAATTTCGAATTAAGGACGGAAACGAAGAAGACCTCAGAGAAGCCAACTCATTCCATTTCTGGAAGAGAGGAGCAGACTTCATTCAAGGGAAGCACGGCCGCACCTAAACCAGTTGTTATTCAACAAGGGACGGAAAAGTACAAAGGTTCGTGTAATGATTATTTTTGTAGCCTGAATTATGATGTTAGTTAAACTGCCAAAACAATACGCTTACTTAGGCTTGTATACCATGTGAAGAACCTAAGACGCTCGTTATTAAGATTCTTGGCATCCGCCTACCGTACATCTTATGTAACTATTAGCACAAAACTCTCGACTGACGTCAATCTTAACTTTCATGTAAATAGCCGTATCTACTGTAACCAAAGCTCTCACCGAGGAATAGTTATCCATTTTGAAAGTCTCATTACTATGCCACAACACTTACCAAATTTGTTCCAGCGTCTCTAATGTAATTGATTCAGGGCCAACATTTAATTGCCGAATTTTGAATCCATTCCAAGACGGTGTTCCCTCTGTGAATCACGATCCGTC